TTTTAGGATAAAGGGGAATAGCAACCTTTGCTACAACCATTCGATTCTATCATCCAAACTGAAGCTGGGGATAGCTCCTTGTGATAGACATGGGCTTCCATTGTCGCCCCCGCCAGCTAAGGACGATTCGTCGGCTGATGAAAACAGCGACTACGATGACAGTGATGGAGATGATTCTAGCACCCGCCACAAGGAGTCTCATAATGGCCCCAATAAAGTCGTGCTTGGAGTCGCAATTGGGCTGTCTTCCATAATTTTTCTCATCATTTTCCTGGTTTGTATGTCCAAGTGTTGTCGTTGAGAGTGAAGATCGATCGGCTTTACTTCTAGAGTAGAATTATTTGGTTCTTTCTTCTTCTTCTTCTGTTCTTGGTAGAATAATTAGTAAAGAAACCATGATAGGCATAGGCATTGTAAATGTAGTGGCAGGACAATTTGGTTGTCGTTTGTTCTTTTTGGTGGATAGTTCCAATTATTATTTGAGTACGGCATGTTTTGATGTGTTCATTTTGAGTGTTATCAACATCGTTTCAAGCTTTTCCTTTTGTTTTTTCTATTATGACACGATTTGCTATTGCCTCAATAAAATCTCATTATGTTCAGTGTCTCAACTTTGTTACTCTCCCTGTCTCAAACTGGCTTCTTCCTTTTATTCACCGGTAACCTCTACAAGAACAATATCCATCCTTGAAATGATGAAAACGACTAGAATCTCTCAAAACGATCTCCCTCTTGGTGTCTTTCGACATGAACCTGGCCATCTCGTGACAGTCGCCGCAAACCCGGAGATTTTTAGTCACCCGTATTGTCTTGCCGGGTGGGAGATTCAGCATTCCAAAGGCCATTGCTAACTTCTCACTGTGTCCACAGAGGGCAACTTCCTTCTCCCTTTCATCTGCATTTAACAAAGCATACCTTGTTTTTGGAGAGTAACCTTCTTCCTTCATCTTGCTTCTTAGTCTTGTCAGAAGTAGCTCTATCTTCTTGGCTTGGGGTTTGGAGCAATCTCCAGCAACAAAGATGTTCACCTTGCCCTTGATCTCTATCCAACTGCAGCCTGGATTCTTCTTCAAACCGTGTCGTCCAATCCTCGTCCTTAACTTTTGAACTTCTTCCCACTTCTCTGCCTCTGCATAGATGTTAGCCATAAGTACATAATAGCCTGTGTTTTCTGGTTCCAGTTCAAAGATTCGTTCTGCAACTTTTTCTGCTAGTTTGACATCATGGTGTATCCTGCATCCGCACAACAATGCACCCCAAATTGTGGCGTCTGGTTTGATCGGCATCGTTTCGATGAATTTATGCGCTCTCGCCAGATTCCCCGTTCGGGCAAGAAGATCCACCATACATGCATAGTGCTCCAGTTTGGGTTCAATCTGACATTCTTTCTTCATAATAGTGAAAAAGTTCCATCCTTCATCAAGCAGTCCAGAATGGCTGCAGGCATAAAGTATTGAAATGAAGGATACTTCATCGGGCTCAATCCCAGCTATTCTCATCTGGTTGAAGGCATTGACAGCTTCACTACCATAGCCATGCATCCCATATCCAGCTATCATCACTGTCCATGAGACAAGGTCCTTGTTGAGAATCATATCGAAGAGCGACCGGGCAAGGACTAATAGCCCGCACTTGACATACATATCGACAAGTGCATTAGCAACAAATTTGTCCCTTGAGTATCCATTTCTTAATGCATATCCATGGATTTCTCTACCCTTATCCAACGCTGCAAGGCTTGCACAGGCTGGAAGGATGCATGCCACTGTCGTGCCATCGGGCTTCGATTCTCTTTGCATCTCTGCAAACAAGCTCAGAGCTTCATTCGGAAGACGATTCTTTGAGTAACCTCCGATCATAGTATTCCATGAAATAACATCCTTCCTTTTCACGTGAGAAAATACATCAGCTGCGTCCTTCATGCTGCCGCACTTGGCATACATGTCCATAAGAGCATTACTGACAAACGAGTTAGTTTCCAAGTTGTTTTCTTTGATGTAGTTGTGTAAACTCTTCCCACTGTTCAAGTTGCCATTAATAGCACAAGCATGAAGAATGCTTGCAACAGCATACACATCCGGGAGCACGCCTCTGCTTTTCATTTCGTTAAACAACTCAATCGCGCCATCGGACAGACCTTCACGAACATAGCCTGCAATCATCGAAGTCCAAGATACAACAGTTTTCTCATCCATTCTCTCAAACACTCGAATGGCACTGTTCAAATCCCCACATTTTGAGTACATGTCCAGTAAAGTGTTATTGAACATAACATCTCTGTCAAGAGCAGCAGCAGCCTTTATTGAATAAGAATGGAGTGTCTTGCCCAACGAAAGAGTACCCATATTTGCACAAGCTACAAGAACATTGACCATTGTAGCCAAATCAACATCAACACTGAAAACTAACATCCTTAAGAAAATCTCAATTCCTCTGTCTTCTAAACCATTCTTAACATAGCCACTGATCATAGAGTTCCATGAAATGACATCTCGGTCACTCATTTCATCGAACAGCTTCCGTGCACTTCTAACCTTTCTACCCACGAAGTAGAACGAAATTAGTGAATTAACGACTGCATTGTAAGAAGTAAAACCCAACTTGCAGATCAACCCATGAACCTGCCTACCCTCTTCCACACGTACAACTGCTGCGAAACATTTCAGAACACTGGAAAATGTGTAAGAATTAGGGTTTATCCCCAATTCCAGCATTCGCTTAAACAAATTTATACTCTCTCCATAGTTACCACTTCCGGAATACTCACTGATCATAAGGTTCCAGAGGAAAACCTTCTTTTCAGAGAGTTTATCAAAAATCATCCTACCTTCTCTAAGATCCCCGCATTTCACATACATAAAAACTAGTTTCGCCCCTAAGATTCCATCTATTACAACTTCATTAGATTCAATTATTGAATGAACCCTTCTTCCATCTCGTATAGATTTTTGTTCAGCACATAGCTGCAAGATGATGCAATAAGTATCCAAATCAAGGTTGGAATTTTGGGAGCTGCAAAGAAGCTCTATCGCATTTTTGAGATCACCCACTTCACAAAACTTGACAATTTTGCGGGAATTATTCAGTTCAGCATCGATGTAGTTTTTCGCTTCCAATGCTGCGGGGGTGTAGCTCTCTGTAGAAGCATAGGCCGAATTCGAGAAGGAAGATTGCGAATTGGGTTTGACAAAGGCTGAAGATTGCCGGAATTTCAAGTTCACTAAACCACGATGGTCGTACCCTGCCGAAGATAACCAGAAGGTTGGAGGGGCTTTTGCTACCAGTAAGAACATAGCTTTCGCCGAGAAGTCCCAGCAAGAAACAGCGAAAATGGTAACGAATTTCTTCTAATAAAGAAAGAAAATAGAGAGCAACAATAGGGCGAAATGAAAGGGAAGAATGAATGATGAGACGGACACGTGGGAGCACAAGCTTGAGAGGCACCTGAAGCAGCTGTAACACTACATACCTAGTAGATATTGTCGGTTTGACATGTTACTTATAACCATTAGCCTCACGATTTTAAAATGTATCTGTCAGGGAGATGTTTCTACACTATTGTAAATACTATTTTGTTCTCTATTTAACTCACGTGGGATCTCACAATCTATCATTTGGAGACCTAACGTCCTCACTAGCACACGGTGCTTGATAAGTTGAGGGCCCATTTCTTCTTCCCCTTGAAGCTCCCGCTTTGATATCAAAAACCCGTCTTGAATTTTGCAAATCCATTATGAAAACATACCGAACAGCTCAAACCTATCCATGGCCACTGCTGAAAAATCACCACAGACCAGGTAGCTCTTCTTGCTCTCAAAGCCCACATCACAAGCGACCCCAATGGCATAATTACAAACAATAGGTCTGAAACTACCTCAGCCTGTAACTGGGTTGGCATAATTTGTAGTATAAATCACAGCCGAGTGACGAGCTTAAATTTTTCTTACATGGGTTTGCATATATGGCTCTGTGACGGACACTCTTCGTTAAACTCAAGTCTTGTTTCTTAAATCACGTTTCCTTTGCAATGCAGTGTTGGGGTTGGATGGGATTGTTTCCAGAAGAGGTAAAGCATTCTGTTAATGGAAACATTGACAAGGTAGAAAGAAGGCTAGAGATGAAATGATTTGTACTACTAGAGAAATGAGGGTACCCAAATCATATCCTCCCTAAATGACCGATGTGCAGATTCAATCACCAATCTTTTAGCTATTCAGAGTGAATGTCTTGCATCCATTGTATTGTTGGCCTTGTCGTTGACGTGGACAGTATGATCATCAGAGAAGAGGCCGAGTATCAAACATGTTCTTGGCCCTCTCAACAAAATCAAGACGAGAATTGGGCAGTCCCAAGTCCATAAATCTTGAATGTATGAATAAAAGAGAGTTTGGTTTGGAATGCCCTTTTGAAATAGTACTTTAAATAAGACTGTTTGCTCATTTGATGGAAAAATCACAAATTTAATACCACATACACTTCAAAATTTAAGGACCACATATGATTAAACTCGTAATTTAACTAAGGTATAATTTTCATTAAATTAAAACTTTAATCCCTGATTCTTGCCATTTCATTTCGTTCTTCAGATTGGGTTTGGATCCTCCTCTTCTATAATCTATATCAGCCACCAGCGTGGATCTCTGATTCATTTTGGGGTTGGCGTATAAGAATCATTTAGGCCATGCGATTGGAAAATTTCATCATACGATCATATATAGAAGGACAAATCTTCCAAAAAAGTCAAGGTAGTTGTACCAACGGTTCTGTGAAATTTTTGGGTGATAAGATTTACTGGACCCGCCAATTCCAACATTCACCCTCTTCTTCTTCTTCCTCGTTCTCCCAAGTTCAGTTAAGGCTCTATTGTTCAATAATGTGGGAACCCAGAAAGGGAGTAGCTCTGAAGCAGACGTTGAGCCCTGGTTGGTAGCCTGTAACTGTTCGCAAGTATTTCTTGGTGTTCAAGGTTAGTCTGAAAGTGTTATTCGGCCTTTAATATTTTGCTTTTATTGCACTCATCTATTCTCACCGGACTTTTCAGCTTTCCTTTCCTTTTGTTCCTAACGTGTATGCATACCTTCTTGTTTAACAATTTTCTTTGTTTACCAAACTTGCATTTTTGTTAGATCACTTCTGTCTTTGTGTTGGTGGGTTGTTTTCTGAGAAAGACAGACAGAGAGAATCTGTAAGAAAAAGAGAATGTGAATGCAGGCCTTCATAGTTTATGGTTACATGTTTTTTTGTTATATGGTTCCTTAAAACACCAAAGTTTCTGTATAGTGCAAGGAAGGATAGATGTTTGAGAGATAAAAATGGGGAAGCAAGGGGTCTCCAGAAGCTTGCGCCCTGAGTCTCAGAGTGATGGAATGTCATTAGGAATGAAAGATTATCAGATTAGATGTTGTTCAGAAAACTTTTGTGGGAATAATCCTTCTATAGGGAGGAGGCTTTCAGGGGAAGATGTGAACTCAGGTTTGAAAACCGTATCAGTTCATGGATTGAAACATGATGTTTCCAAAATTAGTGCTTCTAAGGGATCCTATGGGAGCAAAAGAAATGTTTGGCTTCAAAAGCATGTGAGGTCAATTTTGTTTATGATTGGGGTGATTGGCTTTGTTTTTTTGGTTGATTCCTTAACAGTATCCCTTGTCAATTTGATTATTCGCCGGAACACTTCACCTGCCAGAAAATCAAGTGGTATCAAGGTAAAATGTAGGAATGTTTCTAGATTTAATTGGGTTGGTAGTAGCTTTTTAAATATGGCGTTGATACGTATCCTTATATGCTTGGATCCTTCATACTCTCTCCCCATGATTTTAGTAAAAGTTTAGATAAGATCCATCAGTACTGACTTAGTAGAATGCTTAAATTCTATGGATAGAGATGGTCAGTGGATATTACAATGTTCTTAACATTAATGCTCTAGTGATGAGATTTTCATTTTTGTTGACTCAAGGATGATAATGGTCCCAATGTTCACAAAGAAAAATCTCCAATCCAGATGTATGACCGCCTTGTACATTTGGCCTCTGTTTCTCTTGCAAAGGTTTGCTCCTTGACTCTTCACATACTGTAAATGTTGTCATTTTTCTGATGAAATCTTACAAAGTTGAGACTGTTCTGCTTTCAGCTTGAGTTTAAACCAGAGAAATCAAGCTTGTGGAAGGAGCCATATCTTCAGGCCTCTGGATGGGTACCCTGTGCAGACGGAAGCGTTGTATCCGATTTAGGTACCCGATCAGACATTTAACTCTTCGACGTTTATAAAACCCTTATAATTTTTGCTCAGATAATTGCTAATCGCTGCTGCAGACACAATGAGTATACTAGAGTTTAGTGCATGATTACTTTATCATGTGACTGACACTCAGTTGTAATCTTGGAGCAGGGAAGTTTGATAAGACTAATGGTTACATAGTTGTCAGTGCAAATGGTGGTCTTAATCAACAACGAGTTGCTGTAAGTGTTTGCATCTTCCATGTCACTATTATCCTTATTAGATTGTTGGAGAGTTCTATGTTCTACCTGCATATCAGCGCATCCAAACGCCTATAGATGATGAAATACTACAGTTTAGTGCCTATAGATGATGTTCTCTTAGTCTTCACGTGGGCTTACAACTCTTGCAGATCTGCAATGCTGTTGCACTGGCATCTCTTCTTAATGCAACTCTCGTAATTCCAAGATTTCTCTACAGCAATGTATGGAAGGATCCAAGGTCTGAGGTCTTTCTGAATCCATACCATTCTACTATTTTTTTTTTAGTTCAACCATATGCGGGGTGGGAGATTCAAACCTCTACCTCTTGGTCGAGGGTACATATTTTGCTAGTCTAACTTTGTCACTTATAACCATTCTCGACTGATGTGGCTATGTAGGAATGATGAAGTGGCACCTTCCTTTCATTTATGCATTGTTGGTTGACTTGAGAACATTTAATTTACTATAATTTCACGCAGATGAAATTTATGGTCATTCAACTATATAAAATAACAATCACCATTCAACTATAGAAGCATTTCCAAAACTGAATCATTGTTCTTGTTTAATTTTTCACATTAATGTTCGACTTCTGGCCATGGCAAGCATTTGTGATTTTATGCTTTTAATGAGAATGCAGCCAGTTTGGTGACATATACCAAGAAGATTACTTTATGAATACTCTTCAAGATGATGTACATATTGTCAAGGAACTCCCTTCTTTCTTAAAGTCTGTAGATCTAGAAGCAATTGGTATTCAGGTACGTTATAAATAAGTGTAAATACTTCATATAACAACTTCTACTCCGGAAACAAGTTAGTAACTCCTGGTCTTTTTTTCAGATCACTGATGCAGATATTGCAAAAGAGGCAAAGCCCACTGATTATATTAGAACCGTTCTCCCTCTCCTTTCGCAGAATGGAGTCGTTCACTTCCTTGGCTTCGGAAATCGACTTGGCTTTGATCCCATACCCTTCAACCTTCAGGTTGTAAGCCAAATATAACAGGACAAACATTATTGCTATTAGGATTTAGCTTGGTATCAACATGAGTCTGAAGTGTAGGTATTTCTTAATGATTTGCTGCAACTTTTTCACATTGCAGAAATTAAGATGTAAATGCAACTTCCATGCTCTGAAGTTCACACATAAAATCCAACAAGTTGGTTCTTTATTGGTCAAAAGGATCAGAAAGTACGAAGCCGCCAAGAGTATGTTAGATAAACACCTGCTAGGGAACTTCATAGACTATGTGGCATCCAAAGAGGACAAAGTTGTTGGAGGTCCAGTGAAGTATCTTGCTTTACATTTGAGATTTGAAGTGGATATGGTTGCATACTCCCTCTGTGACTTTGGAGGTGGAGAAGATGAGAAGAAGGAGCTTCAAGCTTACAGAGAAATCCATTTTCCTTTACTGATCGAGCGTTTGAAGAAGTCAAGGTACTTCAATGGAGTTCTTTTCTTTTTTTCAGACAGTATGAGCTTATGTTAGTAGATGCTGATCACTTCGGGATTACGAATTGGTATGCAGGACAATTCCTTCAACAGAGTTGAGAATGTCAGGGAGATGCCCATTGACACCAGAAGAAGCAGCACTTGTTCTAGCCGGCCTTGGGTTCAAACATAGAACTTATATCTATTTGGCTGGATCTCATATATATGGTGGAAATTCCCGGATGCGAACCTTCACCAACCTCTATCCTAACTTAGTCACGAAGGAAACACTTCTTACTCCCAGTGAGCTTGCACCATTTCAAAACTTCTCTTCTCAGGTATAACATTGAAGAGCATGCATGTGACAATTATCTCTCTCTCAGTAATTTCAAATGCATATTCTCTGGGAACCAAGCACTTCGGAAAATGTAGTTATATTTCCTGTTTGTCAATTCATTAGACTGAATGCCTGTATATAGCTTGCAGCGTTGGATTTTATTGCCTGTGCGAGTGCTGATGTCTTTGCCATGACCGACTCTGGAAGCCAACTATCATCTCTGGTGTCAGGATTTCGAACTTACCATGGAGGTGGCAATGCTCCTACTTTAAGACCAAACAAGAAAAGGTTAGCAGCAATCTTGTCCGAGAATAAGACCATAGGTTGGAAAACTTTTGGAGATAGAGTTAGTAAGATGATTGAGGAAGGTCTACGATCCCGGACCAGAGGGTTTGGTAGAAGCATCTATCGTCATCCGATGTGCCCAGAATGCATGTGCAAATCCCACTAGTGTTCTATAATCTGGCTTGCACATAAATGTATACTTAGCTGCCTTGGATGGAAATTTACATATATCTTCCCCTCCATTCCGGCAGGCAATATTCAAATTCATTTGTTCATTCTTTTTCCGTGTTAGTATATAATCTGCTGCAATTGACTGATTATGTTCGTCCATTATAATAGTTCATTAATGAGAGAAGAACTGCTTGTAAAAGAACCATTCCCCCCTTTCTGATTCTGCCTTCTTTCAAAGAACCAATTCTTTTAGGTACAAAAAAGATCATTAAATAAAAAAAAAACAGACAATACAGCTCTCTTCTCTCAAGACTGGTGGAGTCCAGTCTCTGTTCAAAGAATCGTCTCAACCTGGGAATGATACTTTTTTTCTCTGTACGCAAGCAAACCTTTGTTGTCTCCTCTGTTTCTTCCTTCTATTCAAGATGGAGGGAAGAATTGGTTTAGGTTAAAAGGAAGAGTGTAAAACTCTTCATTCCTGCCGTCTCCCTTGAACGTTCTGAACTTAACCCACCATGGCATTCCCCTGTCTCTAGCACTGTCTTTGTAGTCTAGTGTGTTATCCAAGAAAACCGCAACTATGAGTGCTACTGTTGGTGGAGAGAAGAATATGGTGTTTAGGAAGTCATTGAACTGCACATTAAAACAAGAACTCGCGTTAGTTCATCATGTTCATAGAGAAAATTAAGTGAAAACAGAAACTCACCCATCCAGCGTTTGTGTGAGCAGGGCCATGGAAGGCCTTTGCGGTGTACTCCCTAAAATAATCAGGCACAGACAAACCCAAGAACAATGCCACACCAGTAATGAAGAGATTCCTCATTGAATTCATGTTGGTAAATTGCAAAAATGACAACCCCACAGAGGCTGAGAAAAGAGCTAAATTTGTTAACATTCCATTTCCAGAGAATGCAAAATGTGAATTTATGCAAAATCTACTCACCAACAAGACCAAACAAGACACAATATACAGCTGCAAATATAGTGAAGGGTATTGAAGCAAACAATGCTCCAAATTTCCCTGCAGAAATCAGCAGTCATATGATAAAACTTGAACAAGATAAGATGTTCATCATTTAGTTTACTACCATAACTAATTTCTGCTCACCTAGAATTGAGAAGAATATCATAAATCCAGCTGAAATCTGGATAACCCTGCGGCTACCAACACGCGTGCTTCCAAGCAGACCTACATTTTCTCTGTATTTACATTGTAAGTCGGAAAACTTGCATAGATACATACAATCTCAATGACACAATGCAACGAGAAGTGAAAACAAAAAAACATACATTGAGACAGTTGATCCAGACAATGTTCCAAACAGACCACTCAGAAGAATCCCGATTCCCTGCCAACCGATTCCTCGACTCAGAACATGAGCTGGAGGTGGGGTTGCACTCGCTAAACGTGAAGCTGCCTTAAAGGCTCCAGTTGACTGTTAATAAATGATTATAAGTTTTCCATATGACTCTTTCAAGTACAGAGCAAGAATTAGAATATAGTGCTAGAGTAGAAGAATATAGTAAGTACCTCAATCAAAGATACCAGAACTGCAGCCATCATCCCAAAAGCATGGCCAGCATCGAAGGTTGGAGCACCCCATTGAAGAGGGTATGGTATCTTAATCCTGAATGATGAAGGAGGCAATGTTGGGGAAGAGGGGTTAAGTTTTTTTTTTTTTTTTTTTTTTTTCTCTTTTTATATCAGCACAAAGTAAAAGCGAGGTCAGGTTTAGATAACAACCATGGAGCAGATGAAATGAGGTTGGCCCTGTCAGTTCGACAATTGATTTGAGTTAATTCTGGTCGATGTTTGTATGCACCACTGGCTGTCAAGAGGTGTGCATATGCCCATATCACAGTAACAGATATAAGAAGAGCAAAGCGTTCAAGTATTGGCAGTTGCCTTACATGAAAACCTTTGAGATACTGCAAAAGAAGTAAATTGTATAGATTTTTAAAAATGGTGCCTGACTTTTGTTATTGTTTTGCAGTAGCAAGATAATAAGCCATCACCTGTGAGAGAGCTATAAAGAGTATAAGCATGGGAACGCCAATTTCCACACATCTTCCAACCTGGTTAAGTTTCAACGGTCAGATGAATGGAAAAACCAAAAAACAAAAATTTGAAAACACAGGGACCTCTCGTAAGTATACCACTGGGAAGCCTCTGTCAAACATACCAAAGCCTACTAGTGCAATCACAGGGACCATTCCAAGAGGACTGAAGAACCTGAAACGGATGATGAACTTCCTTCCATCAACATTTAGTGTGAAATAGATTTAGTGATGTCTTGATTCTTAAGGAAGTTCTACCTGGAGCAGATAGCCCACAATTGACTGTATCCCAAAATGATCTGTATACTTGATGATACAATTAGAGCTCCCTGAACTGCTCTCATTGTGCTCAGAAATCTCTGTGGAAGTTTAATTCATGCATTAAAAGTGATCTTATGTTTAATTCATTATATAAAGAAAAAGACAACCATGTTGACTCTTTGGACATTGATTGAGTTGGATGTATGGACAAAATCTTACAGTTCATAATGCATCCATAAAGACAATCGATTTGTCCACACGTTTGGAGACAAATGGAAAAGTAAAAAGAAAAAGAAAATACTGAATTGGGTTACTGACCAAATGGGGGTCCTCGATTCTTGATAAAGATGAGTCGTGAATGATGGAAATAATCGGAACCATAAAGGCATAAGAACCTCCGATAACAGTCGGCAATCTTGTTCCAAACAGAGTCTGTAGAAGCGTATTGATCCCTTCAACAAAAAGTAGAGTCTGTACCACCCTCACTTTATCACCCTATATCAGAGTTTCAACCCCCATGTTAAAAAAACACAAGCAGAAAAGCATGTTGAGATGAAAAAGTTTTGAGATTATTTTCTTTTGTCTGTATTTTGAAGCTAGAGAATCTGTCATGATTGAAACTCAGCAGCCTTCATGTAGAAACTGAAAATAGGAAGACAAAGTTGAAAATGAAGGAGTTGGAAATGTTTCTCACATCATCGCCTCCCATCAAAGGAACAAGGAAAGAAGGGATCATGACAGCAGTACCCAACGCCAGAATGTAGTGCTGAAAGCCCAAAGCTATGGCTTCCCCTGTTTTGAAAACATAAGCAAACAACAACAATTACAAGCTCAGAAGAAGAAAAACATCAATGAGTTGGTATAGTTGTGTGCATTTGGAAAATGAGCATTACCCCAAGATGGATTAGAATCGATACAGTACTCCAAGCCCTGAAGTTGATCCATTGGTGGATGGCTAATCTCCTCTGGTTTCGGAGCTTCCATTACTCACAAACGCCCAGTGAGCGAAAATCCCAAATGGGATTGTGGTAAAATAAGCAAAACAGAGAAACAAACAAACAAACAAATGAAGCAAGCCAATCTCTGTGTCTCTCTCTGTCTCTGTTTCACAAGAGAACTTGTAGAAAAACAGAGTGAGAGGAGAAGAGAACACAGAATGAGAAAAGGAGAAATGGAAAAGAAAAAGTGGGAGTGATATCAAAAAGTTACAGAGGTGAGGATTGAATGCGGAGAGAGAGAGAGAGAGAGAGGCAGTGAGTTGCTCGCCGCGCATGACCAAGCGGCTTTTGTGGCTTTAGTGTTCTTGGCCCTCTTCAGTCTTCACCTCATTTTTGGCACTTCCCAAACTACCCTCACAAGAACTGCCAAACCCAAATGTAACCGTTGCCCATTCAGCCTCCTCCTTCACCTTCCTTATAATAATAAAAGGACAGCTAAAAACAAAATTTATGCTTGTTCATGTCTTTTCTCTATGTTTTTTCTCTAAAATTCATGTCTTACTAAAATAAAAATACAAGCTAAAAACAAAAGTTATGTCTTTTCTTAGTTAGATAAATTTATATTAAATAAAATCTTAAAATCTTAAATTTTATGTCTACTTGATCCACAAAATTTAAATTTTTTTGATAAATACTTAGTTTTAAAAATTTGTAACCATAATAGATACTAAAAATCATGTGGTCAAGGGTATCTTTGAACCTGCATTCATCTTTGGCTCTCTTTTTCCCACTTTTGTTGTGTGCATGATTAGGATGATTGGGACAAAGGTGAATATAAAGTGTAAGATTTTTAAGTATAGAAATTGGGTTATAATATGCACAACATTACAACTCTAATCTTACTTTATTTACTAGAGTGTGACCTAACATTAAACAAAACTTCCTTTGGACCATCATAATTTCCTAAGTTGTAGGGTGGATAATTACCTAATACAAACGAAGGTCTTTGAGTTGTGCGGTCAAAATGGATCTTGAGTTTAGCCTTCTAGTTCTAGAGAGTTTGTAGAGCTCATAGACATCTTGTGATGCCTCTATCTACGGTCGCTTGATTTGGAGATATTGTCCTATTTGGATTTTATTGTATTGAACGTGAGAGAAAGCCTCGACTCTAAACCCTAAACCTTAAAAAATAATATTAGAGAAGAAGTAGAAAATAAGTAAATGAGGCAGCTGAGAATGCAGTCTGAGTAGACACCAACGTGTGTTGGTATTGAACGGCCTTTCACCCATCGCAAAAACTCCTAACGTCTCTTACTGCAGCTTCGAAATGGCTGCGTTTTCACAAATCTCGTGATCTTGGTTTGTTTTTATCACAATAATCTACTTATAAATAAGCTGTTTAAGTTCACTAATGGCCACGACAAGCTTTATCTTTATTCTTTTGTGTTGTCATTAATTATTACAAATTATTTCACTGTTATTATTTAAATGTTAATGGAAAAGCTTTAACTTTTTTTTTTTTTTTTGGGTTAAACTATATTATTCTTTACATTTTAGTTCATTAGCTTTGTGAATTCAAAAATGTTATTATCGTTCTTAAAATTTTGTTTTCATTTTCATTGACGGCCAGAATTGTTTTCTTGAGATAGCTGCAAGGAAAGGTAATAACCTAAAGTTCTAGGCTAATTATATTTGAACCCATATTAAGTAAACAGAGGAGGTGAATGTCACCTTGAATAACGCAAACATTGGTAAGAATTCAGTGTTTCGAAAACAGATCCTCTACAAGATTCGTCCATGGAGGGTAAGTCAGAGCTTAAGATCAAGCTGAAAGACGTAGTTGATGAACAATAAGTGAATATTCCTATATTACCCAATTTGTTTTGATGGACGGAGGAGGTAAGGTAGCCGAAAGATGGCTATTAGTCACAAAGGGTATCGGTTAAATAAAGGTTGATACACCACTAGAATTGTAATACCCTTGAACCCTATCAGGTTCTATCATAATGGGTACAACCAAAATTGTAAAAGTAGAGGTAGAAGGGGTAATTTAATGAGCTTTTTATAAGCCCAATATAAAAGGATTATAGATGATGTATAACTCATCGAAAAGGTGATGCATAAGGGGGAAAAAAATAGTAAGCACTGGAAACCCTGTCATCCTCTCTCTCGCGTTTCAACCAGTCTTTTATACGTATGCATCCATGGGACAAGCCTTTAGCATCACATGCTATCTCTTTGTTTCTCTCAAAAGAAGACAACTTATGTTCTATTCCAAAAGCAACTGTGCAGAGAAGCAGTCTTAACCAAAAAGCAAAAGGTCCTAAAACATATAACCCACTTCCACCTGCTAAGCTGCCTACCAAAGGTGGCTGTTTTGGTGTTTTATAAAGCTGACCCACACGGACTTACAGGGTTTGGACTCCAAAACATTATGAATTGTAAAGAAACCACCTTTGTTTCGATGTTAAAATATGGAAGAAGAAGAAGAAAAAGAAGAAGAAGAAGATTCCTTTTTGCCAATTCGCATCATAATTTTGTTTGTTCATATGAGGCTGTGGGTTAATTTAGAGGAAAAGGGAAACAAAGTTGTGGGTGTGGGCCTGTGGGGACTCTGGTTTACTCTTTAGCGACTATTTAGGGAAAGAGGTAAGTTTAGGCCAACATACATCGAGAAAAGAATTAAAGGGCGAGGCTGATGGTATTGACTTTAAAGTATTTGGTGATGTTTTGGTTTGGTAGTGTGCGTGTGAGAGAATGGCAGACAAAGAGTTGAAGACAGCCGCTTGATTGTGGGGTTCATAATTGCTTGGAATTTTGGCTGTTAGCAGGGTTGAAGAAGATCGAGGGCGTGGGGAAAAGGGCAGAAGCTGTAAGCCAAAAACGTCGCCGTCTCGAGGTGGCCAACCTATATAGAGAGGATCATTTGTCAATTTTTTCACTGACTTGATGCTTATCGGACATCAAATTTCTATGAATTTTCTACTCATAGGAGGGAGTCCATTGCAGTAAAAGTTAGTGGGCCAAAGCAGCGAGCAAATCACTTAATTGGTGTTTAAAGTAGAGATGCCCGCACCGGCCGGGCAGGGGAAGAGAACAGGGCAGGATCGGAGCCGGGATTTTGCTGAGAATTTGCAGGGATCCGGTTCCGCTCGTAATTTTCCCTTTCTTCTTTAAAAAAATTGTTATAACTCTGGTCAGTATTTCTCACTTCCTCCCCCATTCCTTGACGAGACGGAGATGACCCCTCCCTGTTTGGGGCAGGTCTTGCAAGGACCCCGACCCCGCAAATAAAATAGATATTTGGTCCCTGCAGTAAAATAAACTCTGTACTTTTAACTACTTTAAAGTCTTAAACTGACTAACTTAGAAAGTTGAGCAATAACAAAAGATCTCATTAATATTTACTATTCAATAGAGAGAGCAAATCTAAAGATAAGTTCCCATGTACTGGTGTACAGTCAGTTCGTGCTTCTCTGATGAAACTTACAAAAAAGGAGCCTCCTTCGTTCTGGTGTAATTTGCTTTCCCCCTGGCTATTTTTTACAGGTCGAGAAATTTAGTGGAATACATGAGTTACAAGCAACATTTTCACGACATTTTCGTTCTGAACGTATACATGGTTGGTCACAGATAAAAAGCTAAAAGCCATTTCCCTTGCTTTTCAAAATGGTTCGATACTTACTACTATCGAACTGAATTCATCCCTCTTAGGATCTTCTATCCAACTTCCTCCCACTGGATCTTTGAGATTTTTTTTCTTCAGCCTCTCGCCGTCTTTGATGTCTGTCAACAGGAATGATGTGTTAGAATAGCATAACATCGCACACACTCGATCAAGATGAACACAAAGAACAAGGGAGAGAAAATTCAAAGAGGAATATTGGTTAAAAGTTTTATTGATGACTTCGGGTATGAAAACAAAGAATGAAAAAAGCACGTCTTGAAAGCATGGCCTAATGGGGTATATATATATGATTTCAGTATAACAGATTTAAACACCTATTAAATATAATCTACCAAATATCTCTACCACATTTTTTCGATATCTACAATTAATATCTCTGGTAGATCTTTACGAAATATCTACTATATATATCTCTACCAAATCTTTTATTATAAATTATCATCAGGTTCCATATCCAACAATTCTCCCATTTGGAAATCAATCCAATCAACCAATAATTTCATTCTCAATTTCACCACACCAAACCACACCAAACCAATTGAGGCTTTGCACAACCTCAATGTTCCAACATCAACACATCTTGTCAACATGTTTGCTGAATTCTTTGCACCCTCTATCTTCGACAAGCACATCACCATCTTCCACTAACCTACGAGTGAAATGGTATCGTCTTCTGTGTTTTGTCTTTGAATGATAGACCGGATTCCTCACCATCTGTATGATATACTAACTCTGATTCCTCAGCAACAGTCTCAAGAGTTCATTCAGTCACTTGCTCGACCTCTATCCAAAAGTGACCTATTTCTCCACAACTCCAACACTTAACGTTTGGTTTGTTTGGAAACTTCCACAGTTCTTTGATTTATATCGACTTTTGTTTGGGCCCTTCGATTACTTCTTCCCCTCTGGTCAACACTAAGAGCACCACCAGATGAATCGCCAATTTCTCGTTCGTGAATACTTTCGTTGAGAACTACATCTTGGATTTCATCAAACTTCAGCTTTTCATATCACCAGGAACTGCTGATCGGGGAAACAACAGTATCCCACGACTCGAGTAAAGATGACAGCAAAATCAATGTTTTAATTTCATCTTCGAAATTAATTTCCATCAAACTTCGTTGACTTACAATCACATTGAATTCGTTTATATGATCAGCAACAGATCCACCTTCAAACATTTGTAAATTGAACAATCTTTGCATCAAATACACTTTGTTCATAGCCGACGGTTTTTCGTACATATTCGACAACGCCTTCAATAGGTTTGATGTTGTCTTCTCCTTGATTATGTTGAACGCCACATTTCTGCACAGCGTCGACCGGATCAATCCTAGGGCCTAACAATCCTTGAGCTTCCACTTCTCCGTGGTCATGTATTCGACTTTAGCCCAACAAGGGTTTGTGAAGATCTTTCTGGTACAGATAATCTTTAATCTGCATCTTCTAAAAACCAAAATCGGATCCATTGAACATCTCAATTGCAATCATTGAACTTTCCATCTTCTTAAATCGTGGTGAATTTCACCTAGCTCTGATACCAGTTGTTAGGATCGCACACACTCGATCAAGATAAAAAAAAAGAATAGGAGATAGAAAATTTAAGGAAGAATATTGGCTAAAGGTTTTATTGATGACTCCAGGTATGTACACCAAGAGAGAATACAGAAAATGAAGAAACTATGTTCTGAAAGCAATTCCTAATGGGTATATATATGGTTTCCGTTTACTAAATATAGGATTAACAAATCTAACCACCGAAATATAATCTACCAAATATATATCTAACAAATCTTTATGAAGTATCTACCATATATATCTCTATCCGATCTTTTAATATAAATAGTCATCCTAGCTCCATATCCCAACATGATGCGGATCAATATTGAAGTTTCAGATGCCACTAAAAGTTAAAAAAACTCTAATTGTTCCTATCCAAGACAGTACAATATCTATGCTAATTAAAAAACCAAAATCAATGTAGTCATTGAGAAAAGGTAAACAAACTTACGCAAAAGCCATGTATCCAGAGCCAACATTAGCAGCAGATAGTAAAGTTGAATGAGCACTAGCTGAATCAGACCCACCAGAAATGACTGGATTTTTTATATCACCATCTACCTGAAATGTATTCAACAAATACTTAGCAATACAGTATAGATCACTGATACGCACGATTACACATTGGCAAATCGTCACCTTATCCCATTTTGATTTTTTGTTTTGTTTTCCATCTCTAGTAATGGCATCAGATGCATGAGCTCCTGAATGTAATCCATTACCAGCGACAGCTGAAACACCTGTAAAAGGAATCAACAGAAAAACGCTATAAGAAGAAAATACACTATGAGAAAGAGACTAAAGCACGATTGGTACAAACCTGAAAAAGGTATATTTATTTTAGGCGCAGCCACAACTGTACCACCAGGTTGTGTTCCTCCTAAAACAAACTCCATCCTCGGACTTTTCTTCCTTTCCAGCTCCTTCCTCTCCATCTCACGTTTCATGTCAGCCTCTAGAACAAAATATGAAGCGTTGAAAATATTGTTTTATTAATAATAAGTGCATGTAGATAATGCAATTGCTTGTACTTTGTAACATGCTCTCCAGCCTTCACCACATACTAAATTTGCGACTTGCAAATGGATAAAAGTAGAATGTGCAGAGAATATAGATCAACGTAAAAAAAATTGAACACTGAGAGGAGAAAGACAGAACTTCTGCCAATTGTGCAAATTTTAGTTCCCTGATAACCTCTCAATGTCAAAAGATCATATCAGTCAGTTCATGACAGCAAAATCATCACAATATGACCGCCCGTATTTCTGTAATAACATCTCGAGTAATTTTTTCAAATTGTCAAGACAGCTGATTATGAAATTTATTTAAAAAAACAAAACTGGTAATATTAAAACTAGTGTCATACACGGACCAAGAGCATGTGATTTTTTTTATAAATGATAAGGAGAAATAACATGAGAGATATACAGAAGGAATTGTCAATGACCTATTTCAGTATAGTAGTCACTTTTATCATATCCATGAGGGTCAAACACATCCTTACTGAAGCAAGACCCAATCTGGTCAATATCTTGATAACTCACAGCGTGTAACAAGAAATCTGGATTCCGGTAGTCTTTCCTAATGCGTACTTCTGCATTGAAGCTTTTTCCAGCTTTCTTATACTCAAGAAACTTATTGATTTTCCTCTGCACATAAAGTTAAGGAAAGAAACAAGAACGTCAGGAGAATAAAAAATAATTAAGCCTTGAATTATTGAAGAAACTAGATGGATGTGGTTATCAATGACTAAAAGGTACTGTCTTCTTACTTAACAGTCCACAGGGGCTCCTTTTAACTGGTCCTTACGGTAAGTCATACCCAAGTTGCTAGGAATTGAGAAACCAATACATCCTGCAGAACTAAAATAATTTCATCGCACCAAGACCTTACACTTGCGTAATTACCCGTGCATCCACATTCTAAAATTTATGTCTATCAAGAGGGCCATACAACAAAAAACCAATCCCCATCAAGGTCAGAAACCAAGTCACACACTCGCCGACATAGAATACATTAGGCCCACCAACATGTAAGCATATCCTAACCCCATATCCTGCCAGTCACATTAGTAAACATCCCAGGCTACTCACTTGAGAAACTAAAAAGGATTAAATATATTTCATACATATCAACTGCTTTATGTTTCGTTTCAAAATCTAGATCAACAGTCACATACTATTTCCTCAGAACACAAGTAGCCAATATATCAGAAAGGAAACTAACTTGCAGATCCTCAGCGCATTTTTCCTTTGGTGGAGGAAGAAAACTGTCCAAGGGATCAATATCTTTTTTCGCTTCTTCAACAGTTTCCTCAACATTTTCAGTTTCAAATTCCAGTATCACATTATTCATTGAACCAGAATGTGGTGATTCAGAAATCTGAGGAGTGGCTAGATTGTTTGGTGTTGAGACCGTTACAGTTCCTGGAGATGTTCTATCAAAATCACCTGTACCATAAAAAATAAATAAAATAAAATAGCCGAAGAGGATGAAATAGGAGAAGTGATCATAAGCATCACAAGAAACTGCCACCTGAAGATAGTATTTCAAAGTTAACTCATCAAGTTCGACAAACGTCTAAAAAGAAATCATCACAACATAAGCAATCTTGAGTAATGAAATATTTAACACAATAAAACACCAGTGCCAATAAATAAGTTAGCCTTGCATATATAATTATGATACTGTAAAAGGGCAAAAAAGTCCTACAATTTGCTAGAGTTTCCAAGATATAGTAATTTTTCAGTATGCATGTTGTTGGGATTTAAGCATTTAACAAAAAAATTGTGAGATCCCACGTCAATTAGAGAGGGGAACGAGTGCCAGTAAAGACACTAGACCCCGAAAAGGGGTGGATTGTGAGATCCCACATCGGTTGGGAGGAGAACGAAGCATTCTTTATAAGGGTGTGGAAACCTCCCCTAGCAGACGCATTTTAAAAACCTTAAGGGGAAGCTTGAAAGGGAAAGCCCAGCACAAAGAGAACAATATATGCTAGCAGTAGGCTTTGGCTATTACAGTTAGTACCAAAACCAGACATCAAGCTGTGTGCCAATGAGAATGGTAAGCCTCGAAGGTGAGTGGACACTAGGAAGTGTGCCAGCGAGGACGTCTGGCCCCAAAGGTGGGTGGATTGTGAGATCTCACATCGAATGGAGAGAGGAACGAGTGCCAGCGAGGGCACTGGACCACGAAGCTGGGTGGATTGTGAGATCCCACATCGATTAGAGAGGGGAACAAGTGTCAGCGAAGACGCTGGACCCTGAAAAGGGATGGATTGTGAGTCTCACATCGGTTGAGGAGGAGAACGAAGCACTCTTTATAAGGGTGTGGAAACCTCCCTTAGTAGATGCATTTTAAAAAACTTGAGGGGAAGCCCGAAAGAAAAAGCCCAAAAAGGACAATATATGCTACCAGTGGTCTTGGGCGGTTACAAAAATCACTTCTACTCTCTACCTCAGGAGTTACATTATTAGATCCTCAATAGCCAACAACCTTAAACCCCACCCCTTGCCACTAATACTTGCAGTAAACAATTCAGATGTTATAAAACAAACCATTTTGCATTCCAACACAAGGCAAGGACCTAGAAAACCGATAATTTCATGATACCACTCACCAATCAAAGTTTAAGAACGGAGGAATAAATCCATATTTTCATAAGATAAGCAAATAAATAACATGGATTAATAGTGAAACGAGTAAGGAATGATAGGAGTAAAGAGTTCTCTAGAGCAGATGTGTATTAACTATGAGCTTGCAGCACTGATAGATCTTAAAAATGAGAAGAAGCAAAGTAACATTTCATAGATAAAAGAACTATACAAACCATTAGTGCCTAAAAGCTCATCGCCAAATGTAACACGACCAGATTCTTCAATTTCTCCATCCTGAATGCAAGCAATAGGAACGAAACATTAGATAAAACTTTCCACCAGTCACCATACAAATAAGATGAAAGTTACAACACATATTTACATAGAAGATTTCTCTCAGATATGCCTGCTTAATTCTCCTAAAGCTGAACTAAACAAACATCTTCTTCAACACGTGGAACCGTCAATCTTTGTTCAACACTTTATTTGATTAATATATTTAATATCCCGTTGTAACTTCAGCCAACGACGCTTACAACCTTCGCGATGTCAACAATAAGAGGAATGTAAATGTAAAATTTCGAAGTTAAAAGTAGAGGCTTCCGTTTCTCACCAACCGAGTAGAGATGTTGTAAGTACCTCAGCCTCAGGAGACATTGCGGCTTCATCGTTACCGTAATCAACTATCACAAGTGTCCCCCTTCTCCTACCAGAATTATCGAATTGACCAGCTTGTAATAGCATTGGCGACGATGAAACCACAACCTGCGTCGGTTGCGGTATGGATGACCCGAATTTGGGCTTAGCTGCAGTCGAATTTTCATCAGCAACCGGCAGCATCGAGTAATCAGCAGAATCACTGACAATCATTATATCACTGTTCGCGACCGACTCTTCTTCTGCAACCCTAACTCCACCAAAGTCTTCTTCTCCTCCCTCTTCTTGCCTCTGCTGCTGCTGCATTTCAGTGTCTTCTTCTTCTTCTTGGTCTTCAACGTCTTCCATCTCATCGTCCTCGTCATTGTACATCGAGAGTAAAGCTATACCTTCAGATTCTTTCTTCTTCGATGCCATGAGAGCTTCGATTCTCGACACCCGGAAGGAATTAATTCTACAACAAAGAAATAGGACTTTAGAAATCAAAAGATGGATCTCAAACGGATGCAGAAATCTTGGGATTTTGGATCAATATCGATACTAGGGAGAAGGTTTTCAGTTTCCTGGGTGAAGAAATTTGAAGAAAAAACAGCCGTCTTGTAGATGGTCCATTGTCCATCGATTGGGGGTTTGACGGTTAGAAATATTTCGTTTAGGGAATAGCATAAACGGGCCAAACGCCTAGATACTAAGTTATTGGGCTTAAACTGTAAAAGGCCCAATTTAAATTGGACCGGATCACTCATACACCCGACCACTAAATACGGGTTCTCCAATAAAAAAAACTCATAGACGAAGTAAAATGTTTAAAATGGATTTTTTTTTATATACATAAATTTTAAAAAAAATGGAAATTTGTTACCTTTCTAAATATTTTCGAGAAAGAGTTCATGAAATAAAATAAATAATATAATATATTGATGCAAATATTTATTTATAAATTTTTTTAAGGAAGATAGAGAATAAATTTAGTTAAATTTGTTGATGAAGGTGCATAAAAAATGGAAGTGGAGATTAGGTAAAAACGGAAAAGATATGGTAAACATAGGAAGATCCCTTACTTACTTTTTGACCAATTGAACTTCCTTTTTAACTTTTGCTTTGTCCTAAAAAAGTGTCAGCTTTCAAGAGTTTATGGTATTTATTTGATTCATGAAAAATGCCTTCATAACTACGTATAGTAATAATAATTGTGTTTGTGTTAGATGAAAGTATCCTACATTGGTTCATTTAGGGAACGGTTGGAATGGTCATGGGTTTATAATCTAATAATACACTCACCCTCGGTTTGAGGTCTTTTAGGAAAACTCAAAGCTCCCCAAAGCAAATCCATGAGAGCTTATGCTCAAAGTGGACAATATCATACCATTGTGGAGAGTCGTGTTTGTTTAACAAATTGAACTGTTTTTCTCAGAATTTTTTTAACCAAAGATGGTTAGTTTTTTTTTTTTTTTTTTAAATTCACTAATTCTTGAATATAATAGTTTTTAAATAAAATTAGTTTTTCTATGAGCTCTTATGGCAAAAATTAATAATTTAAAATGTGTTTAATACAAATGGAATGATTTAGATGTTTGAAATTATTATTATTCAAATATTAATGAGTAAAAAACACTTGAAAGAAAAATAGATACTCTCAAGAATCCCTTCAAAAATATATTTAATAATTATCCAAAATTTTATTGTTTTTTTTTTTAAATAAAAAACTGTTTGACCCCAAAAATCATTTACTAAGAGCTATATTAAAAAAAATTAAATTATTAATTTTTTTATACAAAAATATTTCCAAACACACACTTATATTCTACTAAACTATGCGGTGTGAATCAAATATGAGTAGGTATCTATTTTAGAGATGTATATTTTATTCGTGGGGTCAGGACTTTACAGAGGCGCCTCGAACATTGAGGGCGTTCTCCGTTTAAACGAGAAATAAAGAAGAGAGTGGTAAACATTTTTTTCCCTTGGATAAATGGGACGAGTGAGACCATAACTATAATATTTAAGTTTAATTTGAATTTTTAAAAATTATGTCGGTAGAGTATACCTCTATATTGATTCATTATGATTTTTTTTTTACAATTTTTATTAATGAAATTATGTCGAAAAATGAAAACTTTAAAATAATTATTTTTAAAACCAATAATAAATGAGAAAAATTACTCACTAAAAACCCGGACCGAATCCCGAAAAAAATAAACAGGAAAATTCGCAAGAATGGAGAATGAAATAAGGGGTAGGAATAGAGACCGGCGAACATCCCTATCTCACATACATCTCCAACGCGTACATTGATACACCACAAGGTCCATTTTCAGGAATGCATATCTTCTAGCATGCACTATATCACAATTCCCTAATTCAAATCATTTGACCAACTTTTGGTTAGTCAAGACTACAGCACTGAATAAAAGTAAGTCTGAACTTATATAGGCTACTAATATTGGCCTCATGAAATTTGGTAAGAAATTAACGAAATAAATTCGTCGAATAACATTCAAAGAAAACGGTGACTTAGGGGGCGTAATTAACATTGAATCATTCCTCCGACCGACATTAAAATTAAACAGTGGCGAAAAGTATAATATAAAGAAGAAAATGGGAATGGACGAGGCATGAAAGTGACACCAAAAAAAACAGAGACGACAGAAACTAGAAAACAGAAGAAATGGTCAATTTTCCAGAAAGATACGTGAACCCAAAGGAAGCTGCATAAACCGCAGTCCAAGCACGTAACTCTAACCAAGCCCACACATGCAGATGCACATGCACATGGATATCCATATGCATACGCCTTTTCACTATATGGTCAACTGCCTTATCTCCCCCCTATTAACACTTTTTTATTAATATCTTGCCACGTTACCTCCACGTCACTATCTATATATACTTATGCCACGTCAATATATATACACACACCAATAAGCTTGAAATTCAATAATCGGCAATTTAGAATTAAAAAAAGAGGTACTCACACATTAATTTGTTAGAAGAAAGATTTGACGGAATAGTTTGATAGAGCATACACAAATCCATGATTCATAATTAATGATCCAATTAAGTAACATTAATTGATTAAGCAATCAATTAGAAAGGATTGAAGTAGAGCATGATTAAGTTAGCTTTCTACATTAGTATTATTATTAATCATCATTAAGGAAACCCATGCAAGAGAATAAAGCAAATCTGGCTTTGTCTGAGAACAGGAATAAAGCAAAAGGAAAAAGAAAAAGAAAAAGAAAAAAATATATATGAAGAATGAAGATGAGGGTTAAATAATAAAGTAATTGGATGATGGGAGAGTCACAGTCCGGAAGAAGAGACAAGCCATAAGTGGGATTCTTCTGCCTTCTCCTCTCTCATTTTTTAATGAACCCAAAAAAAATTAAAAAGAAGAAGAGAAAAAAGTTGTTAAAGCTGGTCAAGAGGCATCTCTGGTAAGGCAAGGCAAAGGACGGGGAGGGGCTAGGCCTCCCCTGTTCCGGAAATGCCTTTTCCTTTTGGGCCACTCCGTTTCATCTTCGTCGTCTACTGGTACAGTTGGTAATTTACCGATGAGATGAGGGGTAATTCATGGATGTATGTCCTTGAGCAGCCCTAGGACCTGTTGCATTGTAGGCCTTTTTAACGCCGTCTCCGCCGTACACAGATACGCCACACGGAGACTCTCCACCATCTCCGATTCCCCACTGCCAACTCGCAATCGTGGATCTATCACCTCTAAACCTTTTCCCTCTCTTACCATCCTTCTCACTCCCACCACCGTGTTAGCACTGCCGGGCATCCCCGTCAAAAGCTCCATCAACACCACTCCAAAACAGTACACGTCTTTCTCCACGCCCTCGCTGTTTTCCCCGCCGGCATCTCGCAATCCAAACCCTCCAATTCGAGCCTCGAAGTCATCCGCTAGAAAAATATTGGACGTCACCAAATGCCCGTGGACAATCGGTTTCGATCCCGCGTGGTGGAGATACGCCAATCCACGCGCAATCCCCACGGCGATACGGTGGCGCGTCAACCAACCCAACTTCTCCGGTAACGACAAATGGGACGCACTCATTGGATTGCTGCTGATCTCCCACGTGTCGGTGCTCCAGTCTTCCACGTTGGGCTGGCCGGTTGGGAGTTCGTGAAGCCACCGGTGGAGGTCACCGTTGGACATGAACTCGTACAATACCAATTTCTCTTGACCTAAAATGGAAGAAAAGAACATAACCATTAATTAGATTTCGACAGTTTTTACGTTGTACGCGGAAGTCAATCAGTCATTTGAAAACGACGGCGCTTAAATTTACAGAAAGAAACGGAGCGGAATTAATTGAATGCTCAGAGAGGTCAAACAATCCAAAACAATAGATAGAGACAACAAAAAATTTACCAGCAATACAGTAACCAAAGAGCGGTAACAAATTTGAATGCTTGAGTGCGGCAAGCTCCAGGAACATGGCTACAGCCTCATCACGAGCAACGGATCTAGCGGATTCAAGAACCTTGATCGCCACGTGGATGTCGCCGGGAAGGACAGCTCGGTACTCGGGCCCACACCTGCCTTCTGCCAGAAGGGACTCTTTACCGAAATGCGACGTGGCAGCAATCAGATCCTTGAAGGTGAGGTTAATCAACGGCTTCTCGAACATCACCACTGGAGCCGAAGATGGTTCCTTGATGTCCGCTATCCAGGAGGATCCTGACTCAGTCTCGAAGGCGAATGGCCCAGATTTGTCCATCTTCAACTGGACTTGGGCGGGCGTGGAGATTGCCCAGTTGATTTTTTGTCTCATCATTCTCTTTCGTCTCCATATCACTAAAACAGCCGTCGCTAAAAACAAACCTGCTGCACCAGACGACACGGCGAGAATCAGCGGCTTCGTTTTCGATTTGGGTTTGGCCTTTTTCGCCGGTTCTGTTTTGGGTACGTGTGATTGGATGGTATTGTTATGATGAGGATTTGGGGCGCCTCTGGTTTTCATTTCAACTAAAGTAATCCCAGTTTGAACGAACGCCGATTCCCCAAATTTCTCGTAATTCTCTGACCCAATCACTCCCTCAAACTTGTTGATTGAAACATTCAAGAACTTCAATCCATTAAGCGGAGGGAAATCCGACGGAAAATTACCCGTCATGGAGTTACCCGACACGTCTAAATACTCGAGCGAATTAAGAACAGAGATAGGCTTCAAACTCCCAGAAATGTTACACCACGAAACAACCAAGTGTTTCAGATTAGAAAGCTTCTCCAACCCAGATGGAAGATTCCGCAGATTATTCCGCGAGAGGTCCAAAACTTGCAGCCGCGAAATCCCAGAGAGACGAACAGTATTAGAGAATCTATTATAAGAAAGATTAAGAACCCGAATCGAAGAAGAAGGAAAAACACGTCTGTAATCGATAATTTCAAACCCAACAGCTCCTCCAAATCGATTACGGGAAAGATCGACATGAACCAAAGTGGGTATCCCCCAGAGCCAATTCGGAACAGAGCCTTCCAGCGAGTTTCTGGAAAGATCGATGGAGCGTAAGTGCGTCAAATTTCTTAGAAATCTCCAAGAAACAATTCCGGTAAGATTCTTGGAAGGGAGGCTAATTTCTTGAACGGA